GCAATGATGGTTGCCGTACCTGCTAGTCCCAGCCTAAATGGGAATGCTGAGGTGGGAGGATCTGCTTGAGGCCAGGAGTTCTAGGCTGAAGTGAGCTATGATCCGTGCCACTGCACTCCAGCCTGGGTGACAGGAGCTGCAGACTGCATGGGCTCTTAAAAAAAAAGAAAAAAGATAAACAGGGATGAAGTTAGGTATTTTCTTACATTTTAAAATAAACACCTTCATTTTTATAAATATAAGATTTAATTAATTTAAACCAAAATATTTTTAAACTATAACCACTAGTTAATAGATATAAAAAATATAATTTATTAATCCTCCTAAAATTATTCTAAACGTTTAACTTTTAAATTGTCTTTTTATTTTATTGCTTTTTTTTTGAGATGGTGTCTTGCTGTGTCGCCCAGGCTGGAGTACACTGGCATGATCTTGGTTCACTGCCTCCTCTGCCTCCTGGGTTCAAGCAATTCTCCTGCCTCAGCCTCCTGAGGCTAATTTTTGTATTTTTATTAGAGATGGGATTTCACCATATTGGTCAGGCTGGTCTCGACCTCCTGACCTCAGGTGGTCCACCCACCTCAGCCTCCCAAAAGTGCTGAAATTACAGGCGTGAGTCACTGCGCCTGGACTAAGTTTTCTTAATTTAAAAATTTAACTCAATATACATTTTTAAAAATTATTTCAAGAAGTGACATTAGTCATCTTTCAAGTGCTTGGTAGCTACGTGTGACTGGTGGGTGAGGGCAGGACTGTTTTTTGGTTTTTGTTTTTTGTTTTTTTTTTGAGACAGAGTTTCACTCTCGTTGCCCAAGCTGGAGTGCAATGGTGTGACCTCAGCTCACTGCAACCTCCGCCTCCTGGGTTCAAGCAATTCTCCTGCCTCAGCCTCCTGTGTGCATCACCACACCCAGCTAACATTTTTTATTTTTAGTAGAAACGGGGTTTCATCATGTTGGCCAGGCTGGTCTCGAACTCCTGACCTCAGGTGATCCGCCTGCTTCGGCCTCTCAAAGTGCTGGGATTACAGGCGCGAGCCACTGTGCCTGACCACAGGGCCTGTCTTTATTTAGATGTTTGCTATCTTGTTCATCACAAATTATTTTACATTAGTTAAAAAATATGTTTCGAGGCTGGGCATGGTGGCTCACACCTGTAATTCCAGCACTTTGTGGGGCTGAGGTGGGAGGATCTCTTGAGTCCAGGAGTTTGAGACCAGCCTGGGAAACATGGTGAAGATCTGACTCTACCAAAAAAAAAAAAACAAAAAAACAAAAAAAAACTAGCTGGGTGTGGTGGTGTGCACCTGTAGTCCCGGCTACTCGGGAGGCTGAGGTAGGAGGATGATTTGAACCCAGGAGGCGGAGGTTGCAGCAAGCCAAGATCATGCCATTACACTCTAGCTTGGGCAACAGAGCCAAACCCTGTCTCAAAAAATAAAAATAAATAAAAATGAAAAAAATAAAAAACAAAAATATCAGAATTACACACATGAAATGGGTGAATTGTATGGTAAGTATATCTCAATAAAGCTAAAACATTTTTTTTACTGATTTATATACCATCAAACTTGCCCTTTTAAAATGTGCAATTCAGTGGGTTTTAGTACAGTCCCAGAGTTGTCCGATATCACCACAATCAACTGTAGAACATTTTTATCATCCTAAAGAAACCTGGCACCATGGAGCAGCCACTCCCCATTCCCTTCTCCCACCCAGGCCCTGACAGCCACGAATCCACTTTCTGTCTCTATGGATTTGCCTGTTCTGGACATTTCATATAAATGGACTCACACTATGTGGTCTTCAGTGACTGCTTTTTCACTTAGCATCATGTTTTCAAGGCTTATGCATGTTGTGGCATGTACTGGAACTCCATTCCTTTATATGACCAAATAATATACCATTGCATTGGCTGGATGCGGTGGCTCATGCCTGTAATCCCCGTACTTTGTGGGGCCAAGGCGGGCGCATCACCTAAGGTCAGGAGTTCGAGACTAGTCTGGCCAACATGGTAAAACCCCATCTCTACCAAAAATACAAATATTAGCTGGGCGTGGTGATGCACATCTGTACTTCCAGATACTCGGAAGGCTGAGGCAGGAGAATTGCTTGAACCCAGGAGGCGGAGGTTGCAGTGAGCCAAGATTGCACAACTGCATTCCAGCCTGGGCAACAGAGCGAGACTCCATCTCAAAAAATATATATGTGTGTATGTGTGTGTATGTGTGTGTGTGTGTGTGTGTGTGTGTGTGTATACATGTCTATATCATTGCATGGTCGAGCCACATTTTATTTATTCATTCATCAGGTGATGAATATTTATGTTTTTTCCACTTTTTGGCTCTTGTGAATAATGCTGCTATGAGCATTCATGCACAAGTTTTTGTACAGACATCTGTTTTTAATTCTTTGGGGTTTTGTATTAATTTTAATTTTTAAAATATATTGCATAAAAATGTTATTTAGCTTGGTGACTGGGTTTTTTGGCGCTCCCTTAAAATTTGCACCAGGCATGGTGGCTCACACCTGTAATCCTAACACTTTGGGAGGCTGAGGTCGGTGGATGGCTTGAGTCCAGGAGTTTGAGACCAACCTGGGCAGCATGGCAAAACCCCCTTTCCACAAAATATATGCACACAAGGCCGGGCACAGTGGTTCACACCTGTAATCCCAGCACTTTGGGAGGCCGAGGTGGGTGAATCACTTGAGATCAAGAGTTTGAGACCAGCCTGGTCAACATGGTGAAACCCCAACTCAACTAAGAACACAAAAAAATGAGCCGGACGTAGTGGTGTGTGCCTGTAATGCCAGCTACTCCAGAGGCTGAGGCAGGGGAATTGCTTGAACATGGGAGGCAGAGGTTGCAGTGAGCCAAGATCACTCCACTGCACTCCAAGCCTGGGTGACAGAGTGAGACTCCGTCTCAAGAACACACACATACATAACCCAAAACACACACACAACACACACACAATCAACTGGGCGTGGTGGTGTGTGCCTGTAGTGCCAGCTACTTGGGTACTTGGGTGGCTGAGGCAGGAGGATCACCTGAACCCAAGAAGTCAAGGCTGCAGTAAGCCATGATTGCGCCACAGCACTCCAGCCTGGGTGACAAAGTGAGAACCTAGCTCAAAAAAAAAAAAAAAAAAATTTGCACCTGGGGCAAGTGCCATACTCATCTCAACTCAGTCTCACCTTGCAAGTCTTGTGCCTTGCTGGCTGTGTGACTCTGGACAAGTTGCTTAACCACTCAGAGCCTCGATTTCCTCCTCTATAAAATGGGGATAATCTCCGTAACTACTCACAGCTGGCAGCAGAATGCGATGCAGTGAATTCGCCCTTACAGAGCCAGCACTGTTCTTGGCACATGGTAATCTTCACATATTTTTTCCTATAGGAGGGCTGGTGCCAGGCCGGGAGTGGGGTGGAAGGGTCCCAAAATGGCCGTGAGCGTCCTCTGCCCTTGAGAAGAGCTGGCCCAGCTGTCCAGAGCTCCCTGTGGCGGCTGCTCTGGTAAGCAGCAAGCATTTTTGGCTCTCCTGTCTCAGCATGATGCCCCTACAAGGTTCTTTCGGGGGTGGGACCCAATGCTGCTCGCCCGATGGCCTGCCTGGCTCCCAGGACCTTCCATCCCAGCTTCTCAGGGCCCCTCACCTGCGCCTCCCCCACCCTCCCCTCTGCCCACTCCCATCGCAGGCCATAGCTCCCTGTCCCTCTCCGCTGCCATGAGGCCTGCACTTTGCAGGGCTGAAGTCCAAAGTTCAGTCCCTTCGCTAAGCACACGGATAAATATGAACCTTGGAGAATTTCCCCAGCTCCAATGTAAACAGAGCAGGCAGGGGCCCTGATTCACGGGCCGCTGGGGCCAGGGTTGGGGGTTGGGGGTGCCCACGGGGCTTGGCTAGTGGGGTTTTGGGGGGGCAGTGGGTGCAAGGAGTTTGGTTTGTGTCTGCCGACTGGCAGGCAAACGCAACCCACGCAGTGGGGGAGGCGGCTAGCGTGGTGGACCCAGGCCGCGTGGCCCTGTGGCAGCCGAGCCATGGTTTCTAAACTGAGCCAGCTGCAGACGGAGCTCCTGGCGGCCCTGCTCGAGTCAGGGCTGAGCAAAGAGGCACTGATCCAGGCACTGGGTGAGCCGGAGCCCTACCTCCTGGCTGGAGATGGCCCCTTGGACAAGGGGGAGTCCTGCGGCGGCGGTCGAGGGGAGCTGGCTGAGCTGCCCAATGGGCTGGGGGAGACTCGGGGCTCCGAGGATGATACGGACGACGATGGGGAAGACTTCACGCCACCCATCCTCAAAGAGCTGGAGAACCTCAGCCCTGAGGAGGCAGCCCACCAGAAAGCCGTGGTGGAGACCCTTCTGCAGTAAGGAGCCCTTCCCCGTCCCAGGTCCCAGGAAGAGCCTAGAGGGGCCCCCCTCAGCTCCTAATGAGCCCCCCTCTGAGTCGAGAGTCCCCATGAGCTTCAGCCTTTAGCCTAGCTGCTGGGGAGGAGGACAGGGTCCATGAGAGCCCAGGGGTCCTTGCTTGGAGGGTTGAGCCTCCAGCCCCTGAACTGCTCCTCTGCGGAGTCCCAAATCCCCACGAGCTGAGGCCTTCAGCCCAGTCCCTGGGCAGGAGACATTTCCCGGGGGGTCCAAGATGGGAGAAAAAGCAGGTGAGTTCACAACTCAAATGCCTGGGTTGTGAGAACCGGGGGGTGGTGGAAATGTTTAGCCCCTAGGATCATGTATACTCTCCAGACCCTAACTCCTGCACTGAGTCCTCAGCGGGTAGGCTCCGGGGGCCAGGAAGCACTGCCAGGGAGGAGGGCCCGAAGCTGGGGTTTTGGGGGCTTCCCTGGCCTCCTAGGGACTCATGCATTTAGCCAGGGAAGCCCAGGTCTTTCTTACCTGAGGCAGACAGAGCCTCGAGGTGGGAGCTGCTCCCCTTTCCTGTGTGGCCACAGGCACCCCACCTCACCAGCAGGCGCCATTAGAGGCTCCCCGTTCTACATTCCCATCCACTGGCGGACTCCCCGTCTCCTGGAGAACTGGGTGGGTCCTGAGCTCGATGCCTCCCCTCTCCTCGGCAGAGCTGACCTAGTTACTAATTACCCACATGCTTTATTATTTCTCTTTTGTTTTATAAATTTATAAATGGCGAAAGGCTCTGATAAGGTCTGTGATCATTAACTTGTGGAAATGGTGGCCTGGAAAGATCTGGGCCAACCCACCTCCCACCTAGTGGGGGTGGGGGATGGGGTGTGGGGGAGAAGGAAGGGTGGCCTGGGGGCTGCAGGGGCCACCCCTCCCCAGGGGCTCCCTGACCTTCACCCTATAGCGCCTGCTTGGGGAGGTTCACTACTTCCCGGGCGCTGTGCTGAGGTTTCACAGGAATAATTTCCCTTCACGGTGAGAGAAATCCTGGGCAGAAGCTATTAGTGACTCTGTTTCACAAATGGGGAAACCGGGGCTTAGAGCGGGGAAGGAGCTGGACTAAGTTCACCCAACGGAGGCCCCAAACCTACTCTGTTTGCTGCTCTCAATTGCTATGATGAGGGGTCAGAGGCCTGCAGGGGGTGGCCAGGGAGTCAGAGAGACAGCGAGTCCCAAAGATGCTCTGAAGGGGCCCATCTCTTTTCTGTCCAAGGTCCTGATCCCAGCTGGGGTGGGGGAGGGCTGGTGGATTCCTGCTTTCCCAGAGGCCTCAGGGAGCCTCCCGAGGGCCTGGACAGGGGGCAGGGGAGCAGTCAGGGCCCCCTGACTTGGCAGGAAGAGGAGGGCAAAGGACTCTAGAGCTGCAGGGGAGGGGCAAAGAGTCAGGCATCCCAGACCCAGGGCGAAGGCAACTCGACGGGGTGGGGCTGGGCCGGACCTGCCCAGGGCCCCAGATGGGACTGGGGGCTTTGGGGTGAGGGTGGGGGCAAGGGATGCTTTCTTACCTGACTGAGTGAGCTCTCTTGGTCAGCAGCCCCCTTTGGTGGGATGGTGGGGTTGGGGGAGCCTTGATCCACAGCATTTGAAGGGGAAGCAGAGGTCAAAGTGCTTCCTAGGGACCAGCAGAGACCTGGAAGCTGAGGCAGACAGTGTAGAAAGAGGCCATCAGGGTAGATGGAGAGAGAAGCTGGGAGAAGCGGAACGGAGGAGCCGGGGGGCGGGGGCTCAGACCCAGCTGGGAGAAGGGGCACGGGAGAGAATGAGGTGCCCCAAGCTTGCAAGGAGGCTGGAGTGCTTCCCGCCTGCCCCGATTGGGTTTTCTTTAATGCTAACAGCATGCTATTTACTTTCCATTTAAATGTGAGATGTTGCTATAAATTATCAACCAGCTCCTTGTTCCTGTACAGTTTATAACTAACTACCTGGGTTACTTATTGTTCAGGTAACAAAAGGGATCGGAAAACGCCCTGAGTGAAAAAAGTGGGGCCTCCAGCGTCAGGGTCGGGGAAGGAGCCAGGGAGAGAGGGGCGGGGGACCCCTGTTGAAGGCCTGAGCCATCGGGGAGGTTGAGGCTGGGAAGATGGTACAGAGGCGGAACGTCTAGTAGAAGCTGTTTCCTGGGAGAAGTCAGTGTCTGGGAAGAAGCCGGGTGTGTCCTGGGTCCCAGGTCTCCCTGGGGTGGCCCATGTTTGTGGCCACTGCAGGAACCCGAGCTCTTTCTTCAGATCTGCCCCTTAGTTCCCTGAGTGAACTTGGGCAAGTCTGTTCCTCTCCTTCTGCCTTAGTTTCCCTTCCTGGCCAAGGAATAAAATCCAAACTCCCTGCCTTGGTTTCGTTCCCCTCCCTCCACCCCATCAAATTCCTGGATCTCCTCCCAGGTCTTTCTCTTCCTCCCTGCCTTTGCTGTAGCCATTTTGGCTTTGCTGTTCCTCAGCACCCCAAGCCAATTCCCACCCCAGGGCCTTTGCATGTGCTCTTCCTGCTGCTTGGAACCCCTTTCCAGATCTTCCCATGGCCGGTTCCTTCTCCTTCATCTCCCTGATTGCTCCATTCAAAAGGGGGCCCCACCCCCCATCACTCTCTTCCACTGCTGTCATTTACTTTCTCTGGTTCCCTGTCATGACTTGTGATCATCTGATTTATCTGTTTGTTTTCTATCTCCTGCCATGAAAATAGAAGCTCTTCAAGGACGAGGCCTGTGTTGCCTTATTCACCACTTGTACCCACATCCTGCCCAGTGGCTGATGCACAGCAGGAATGAGTGAGTGACTGGGATTCTCTGAGGCCCTGAAGATATCTACTGCCCTGTTGGCCAGGGCCCAGCAGCCTGAGATGTGGCCAAGGGAGAAACTGGGACCCAGGGTTCCTTCCTGGGTGTCCTCCCAGGTCCTTTCTGTCCCTGATCAGCTCAAACCCCAACCTGTTTCTTTTTTGTTGTTTTTGTTTTTGAGACAGAGTCTTGCTCTGTTGCCCCAGCTGGAGTGCAGTGGCGCACTGCACTCCGCCTCCTGGGTTCAAGTGATTCTCCTGCCTCAGCCTCCCGAGTAGCTGGGATTACAGGTGCGCACCACCATGCCTGGCTGATGTTTTGTATTTTAGTAGAGATGGGGTTTCACTATGTTGGCCAGGCTGGTCTCGAACTCCTGACCTCAGGTGATCCACCTGCCTTGGCCTCCCAAAGTGCTGGGATTACAGTCATGAGCCACTGCCCCCGGCCTTCAAACCCCAACCTTGAAGTGCTCTGATCCTGCCCATCAGGCAGGATCAGGGCACCGAGACCCAGGAAGACAGTTGCCAAGGGAGGACAGAGGATCTGACACCCCGACAAAAGCCAGACTGCCTGCATCCTAATCCCAGCTCTGCCCCTTTCTAGCCTGAGCAGGTGATTTCATTTTTCTGAGCCTCAGTTTTGTCTGCAGGGTAGAGATGACAATAACCCTTGTCCACAGGGTAAAATGGCATGGCACTTGTAGAGTACACATGTAGTAAGTGCAATACACAGCAGTCATTATTAGTGATCCCATTTTACAGATGAGCAAATTAAGGCTGAGAGAGGCAGTGCCTCACCGAACAAAACTCTTCCAAAGGACTGAAGGCAGGCCAGGATTTGGACCTGGGTCCTCCTACCTTAAGCTCCATACAGCAACCTCGAGGTTGCACTTTCCTGTCATTCCTGCTGTTCAACTTGACCATCAACTCACTTCCATACAGTGCTTCGGAGTTCATAAAGGGCTTACAAAATGCACTGAGCTCATTTTTCCCTCCCCACCATCTCTGAAGTCTGAAATATCATTCGCCCTATTTCACAGATGAGGAAACTGAGCCACACGGAGGTTAAGCAAAGAATCAAGGCCATATCTAAAGCCCCCACACTGAGAAGTCAGCTCCCCCTCCAGATGTGGGGATGAACACCACAACCTTGCATGCCCTGAAACTCCAGGGGCAAGAGGGCAAGAGGCTCAAAGCCTTGGACATTTGATTGACCCCGGAATGGGTAGGAGAGAGGGGAGGAAGATGTGGGCGGGTCTTCACCTCTCCTGGGCTCTGCTGTGTGGGGTCAAGGGTCTCCAGGGCTGCATTAAGATGATGATGATGACAATATTATTCCACAAATTCAGCACTTACTGTGTGCCAGGCACTGCCCTAAGTTCATCCTCCCTATTTGAAGCTCATTTAATTTTCCCAGTAGCGGTGTGAGGTAGGGGTGGATTTTCCCCACGTTACAGGGCAGATGTGGGTCATACAGGAGCACGTGCGGCTAGGTTGCAGTGGTGGGATTTTAACCCATGTTGCTTTGACTCTCAAACCCATTAGAGTCAAAGCAGGAGATGCCTGGAGACTTGGCCTCTTGGTTCTTTTCTTTTTCTTTTCTTTCTTTTTTTTATATGGGCGGGGGGGGGGATGGTCTCACTCAGCCATGCAGGGGGTGCAGGGCACACTCGGAGGCACATATGATACACAACTAGACACTCACATAATCAAGGAAGACCTCCTGCCAATCAGTCCCCTGAGATGAAGGGGACCACAGGCACACGACACCACACCCAGCTAATTTTTGTATTTGTAGTAGAGACACGGGGTTCACTATGTTGGCCAGGGTGGTTCATCTTACACACTTGACACATTTACGAGATCCACCACATTCCGCCATATATCCCAAGTGCTGGGATTACAGGGCAATGAACCACCGATGCCAGCCTTGGCCTCGCTCAGTTCGAGCTACTGGACAGTTGGAGAAAGCTGCCTCAAAAAGAGTCAGGCACTTGGAGACTTCTGTGTGGTGTGTGTGTGTGTGTTGTGGTAAGAAGAGTACACAGAGAAAGATAGAAGAGGAGTGATAGCAAGAGAGTGGGGGTGGGGAGAAGAAGAGACATTGGATTCAGTAGGTTTCTAGGAAAAAAAGTCGGGCCACAGCGGAGGCTCTTCCCAGAAAAGGGAAAGCCAGCCCCTCCTCGGCTCTCCATGTCTCCCTACAGCATTTGAGAAGGGGATAACATTTTGTTATAGGATTTGTTGGGCCCATTACTAGGGAATGTTTAAAGACAGGGCATTCGTATACATCACACTTTGAAGTTTGCCTTTCCATTTTTCACTTTCCAGGCCGTCACTGGGGGGGGGTTTCATAAAAAGGAGGGGAGGGGGGGGGGGGGGAGGGGGTTTTGACCATGTAATTCCGTGCGGGCCTGGACGACCTTTGTTTTATTTTTCAAGTTCACTTAAATTTGCACCTGGTATGGGAGAATGAGAGAGAGAGAGAGAGAAACAGACAGACATGGAATCAGATGGACAGGGGCACATAGCAAATCTTTGGTTTGAGCCCAGGAGAGGCTCTGGTGAGAGGAAGACTGACCCTATTCTCTTTGGGGGAGAGAGAAGGGAAGGATGGAGGAAGGGAGGACACAGGAGGACACGGCACAGGAGGGTGATGGCTGCAGATGGGGGAGGGGAGGCATCGGGCAGCCTGGCTCTAGGATCAGATAAACATGTTTGCCACGGAGCACCAGGCTGGACTTTGTACTGCCCTTCCCTCTGAGCTCTGACTGGCAACCAGAGAAGCGGGGAGGTGGAGAGAGGATCCTAGGAGCCCAGGAAAGAAGGGAGAGAGAGAAGCTGGGGAGAGGCCCGCGGGGGGATTCCTGGCAACATGAAATTTTTTTGGAGTCCCAACTAGATCACCTTGCACAAGTGACTGTGCCTTTCTGAGCCTCAGTTTTCTCCTCTGTGAAATGGGCACAGCGTCTACTTCGTAGGGTTATAAGATGTAAGTGGCCGCCCTCAGCACGGTGTCTGGCTCACAGTAAATCCTCAAGAAACATGAGTTTTCAGATTTTTTTTTTTTTTTTTGAGACAGGGTTTCACTGTCGCCAAGGTTGGAGTGCCGTGGCTAGGACAGTTGGAGAAGCTGCCCTCAAAAAGAGTCAGGCACTTGGAGACTCTGTGTGTGTGTGTGTGTGTGTGTGTGTGTAAGAGATACACAGAGAGATAGAAGAGAGTGATAGCAAGAGAGTGGGGGGTGGGGGGAGAGAGAGACATTGATTCAGTAGGTTCTAGAAAAAAGTGGCACAGGAGGCTTCTCCCAGAAAAGGGAAAGCCAGCCCTCTCGGCTCTCTGTCTCCTAACTGGCATTGAAAATTCACTTTTTTGTTATGGATTTGTTGCCCAAATCTACTAGGAATTGTTTAAAAGCGGAACATTCGTATCAGCTCACTTTGACAGTTTGCTTTCCATTTTCACATTCAAAAGCCTGTCTTCTGTTTCTAAGGGTTGCACATGTATTCGTGCGGGCTGGCCGGCCTTTGTTTTATTTTCAAGTTCAACTTAAATTTGACCTGGTATGGGAGAATGAGAGAGA